GTGGCTCGTCGGAAGCGAAAGAGGCCGAGCTCGACTCGGACGAGGAGGAAAGCGGCGGTGGTTTCGATCATGGGGAGGAAGGTACGCACAGAAATCATGGTGGTGCCGAAATCGAGAGTGGAGCCGGAGCGCAGAGGGCGGAGAGCAGCCAAAGAGTCGATCCAAAGTGCTTTTCGGTGCAGCACGTTCGGTCATTACGCCAACGAGTGTGATCAGAAAAGGTGAGGATTCCCAGATAGGTTATCCAGGGCCATCGACTTCTGGGAGAGGAATTGCCGGACAGGGTGGATTCTGAGCGTGATAGAATCCGGGTTTTCAAGGATTCAGTTCCGACGAGTGTGATTTTGCCCGGGCCGCAGGGCATGCCGAGGCCAGAAATCAGTAATGAGAACAGCGAAATTCGTTTTGCAGAAATTAAGAAAGCTGATCGCCAGGAGGTGCTCATCGTAATGTCCGGACATCGAGGCCGAGATGTGTGTCGCCACTGCACGTGGTGGAACAAGAGTGAGAAGAAAGGAGAAATGATCTTGGATCTGGTGAATTGAACAAGTGCCTGGCTCCTCCTCCTCACTTCAAGTTAGAGCATGAAAAAGCATGGCCTTTCCTAGAAAAAGCGAGTTTCATAGCAACGTTTGATTTTCAAATCAGGTATCACCATGTCATGATTCATGAAGGTCATAAGACTTGTTAGCCTTTTCGTTATCAATCACCCGGGAATCCCATATTTTGTGTAGGGTTACCTTTGGTTTAGCAACCCGTGGCTGTTCACGAAACTTTTCAAAACGCTAGTGCATAAGTGGAGAGCGGGGGGCATGAAAGTGATACTGTACCTGGACGACGGTCTCATCCTAGGCGAAACGGAACGAGAAGTGGAAGAGGCGGTTGAAGTGGTGAGGAGGGACCTGGAAGAGGCAGGAGTGTGTGTAGCCGAAGAGAAATCGGTTTGGACGCCATCGCCAGTGTTCACATGGCTGGGATACAGAGGCGATCTGTTGGCGAGAGAAGTCCGTGGGACTGAGAGAAGGATGACCGCGTGGCGGCGTGCTCTGGAGGAGCTGAGGAGGAGCCCGGCTCCGTCGGTCCTGGACCGAATGAAGTTTCTTGGATGCCTGGCATCATTTGATGTTGTTGCAGGAGATGAAGGTGTAGCCATGGCTCGGCATCTGATGCAGAAGGTCGGTGAGGCCCAGAAGACGAGAGTGTCGACGACGACGAGGAAAAGGAAGTCGGAAGGTGAGGAGAGAGAACTGCGATTCTGGGAAGGAAGAGGTGAAGAAGTGCTGAGAAGACAAATAGAAGAGAGAGAGGTGGAAATCGATTGGTTTCTGTACACCGACGCTTCCGCTAAAGGAATCGGCGCGGTGCTGAGGGATACGAAAGGAGAGACGGTATGGAAGATGACAGAGAGAGGAGACGCGGAATTCGAGAGGGAATCGAGCGCGATGAGGGAACCGCGAGATGTAGAGTGGGCCACGGCCAAGTTGAGAAGAGAGTTAGAAGGGAACATCCAGGTGTTGGTGGACAGTCAGGCAGCGGTCAGCATTCTGAGACGAGGTTCCATGAAACCGGAGCTGCACGCAATTGCGGAGAAAGTGTGGGAGAACCTGCAGAGAGTGGGGGGAAGCGAGTTTTTGTGGATTCCGAGGGAACAGAATTGCGAGGCCGACGAGGCAAGTAGTAATTTTGATTTCGATGATTGGGGAGTGAACGAGAGGGTGTTTAGCCTTGCACAGAGACTGTGGGGGAAGCTAGAAGTAGAATGGTTCGCGGACGCGAAGAACAGGAAGACGAGGTTGTTTTTTTTCCAGATATCCAGAACCGGAAACCAGCGGAGTCGACGTCTTCGATCACATCGGAAGAGCCAAAGGAATGGGATTTTCTTGGTGGGTACCCCCTCCGGTACTCATCCCGAAATTGATGGGAGTTGCCCGAAAAGAGCGCTTGCGAGGGGTTTTGGTGGCGCCAGTCTGGAAAAGTCATCCGTCTTTCCAGGCACTGGTAGATGGTAGAGGAAATCTCATCAGGGCAATTAAAGATTACCTGATTTACGAGAAAAACGACGAGATTTTCGTGCCGGGGGAAGGTTCCAGATATTGTGAAGCGACCAACTCAAAATTTTGTAGATCGAAATTCATTCTGGCTTTAGTCGACTTCAATTAAAAAAGGCCCCGGGCTTTGCAAGTTGTTTCTACCTAACTTATTCCCAAAAAACCTACTTGTTCAATAAAGGCTGTAAGATGAAACTTTTCCTTTTTCGGAGTGAGGAATCAGAAAAACATATTCTCTAGTAGCGCAGCGAAAAGAGAATAATATGTTTTTCGTTGACAAACGGAGAAAAAGGCGCACGCGGCGAGCGAAGTTAAAGGCGCAGCGACTTAGGAGGAGGCGAGGGTCTCGAAGCGAATTGCACCAAGCGGTCGCGGTAGGCGGAATTTGAATTCGAAAAGTCATTCTACGGAATTAGCAAGGAATTAGCAAGGCTACGGAATTAGCGGGTGGATTAGAATAGAATTAAAATAGAAATAGATTAGGAGCTGTCTATTATCATTGAACATGCATGCAATACTTGCAAAAAGGAGTGACTCAGGCACTAAAATTTACGCAGCACTAAACCCTTGACGGTTATGGGTACAGGGCATTTTTTGAAAATTGGCATAAACCCTTGACGGTCATGAGTACAGGGCAAGCAACGCCAAAGTTACGCAGCACTAAAATTTACGCAGCACTAAAAGTTAAGCAGCACCAAAAGTTAAGCAGCACTAAAATTTACGCAGCACTAAACGATAAGCAGCACCAAAAGTTAAGCAGCACCAAAAGTTAAGCAGCACTGAAATTTTGGAGGCGCTCTCCCAGAAAATCGACATAGTCACCAGTGGTCATGGCACGAAAAATTCAGATTGATCCTATTTGACCCATATTATAACCATGAGGTTAAAATTGGCATAAAACCCTTGACGGTTATGGGTACAGGGCATTTTTTTGAAAAATTGGCATAAACCCTTGACGGTTATGGGTACAGGGCATTTTTTTGAAAAATTGGCATAAACCCTAGACGGTTATGGGTAGAGGGCATTTTTTGAAAATTGGCATAAACCCTTGACGGTTATGGGTACAGGGCATTTTTTGAAAATTGGCATAAACCCTTGACGGTTATGGGTACAGGGCATTTTTTGAAAATTGGCATAAACCCTAGACGGTCATGAGTACAGGGCATTTTTTGAAAATTGGCATAAACCCTTGACGGTTATGGGTACAGGGCATTTTTTGAAAATTGGCATAAACCCTTGACGGTTATGGGTACAGGGCATTTTTTGAAAATTGGCATAAACCCTTGACGGTTATGGGTACAGGGCATTTTTTGAAAATTGGCATAAACCCTAGACGGTTATGGGTACAGGGCATTTTTTGAAAATTGGCATAAACCCTTGACGGTTATGGGTACAGGGCATTTTTTGAAAATTGGCATAAACCCTTGACGGTTATGGGTACAGGGCATTTTTTGAAAATTGGCATAAACCCTTGACGGTCATGAGTACAGGGCATTTTTTGAAAATTGGCATAAACCCTTGACGGTTATGGGTACAGGGCATTTTTTGAAAATTGGCATAAACCCTTGACGGTTATGGGTACAGGGCATTTTTTGAAAATTGGCATAAACCCTTGACGGTTATGGGTACAGGGCATTTTTTGAAAATTGGCATAAACCCTTGACGGTTATGGGTAGAGGGCATTTTTTGAAAATTGGCATAAACCCTTGACGGTTATGGGTACAGGGCATTTTTTGAAAATTGGCATAAACCCTTGACTGTAATGGGTACAGGGCAAGCAACGCCAAAGTTACGCAGCACTAAAATTTACGCAGCACTAAAAGTTAAGCAGCACCAAAAGTTAAGCAGCACTAAAATTTACGCAGCACTAAACGATAAGCAGCACCAAAAGTTAAGCAGCACCAAAAGTTAAGCAGCACTGAAATTTTGGAGGCGCTCTCCCAGAAAATCGACATAGTCACCAGTGGTCATGGCACGAAAAATTCAGATTGATCCTATTTGACCCATATTATAACCATGAGGTTAAAATTGGCATAAACCCTTGACGGTTATGGGTACAGGGCATTTTTTGAAAATTGGCATAAACCCTTGACGGTTATGGGTACAGGGCATTTTTTGAAAATTGGCATAAACCCTAGACGGTTATGGGTAGAGGGCATTTTTTGAAAATTGGCATAAACCCTTGACGGTTATGGGTACAGGGCATTTTTTGAAAATTGGCATAAACCCTAGACGGTTATGGGTACAGGGCATTTTTTGAAAATTGGCATAAACCCTTGACGGTTATGGGTACAGGGCATTTTTTGAAAATTGGCATAAACCCTAGACGGTTATGGGTACAGGGCATTTTTTGAAAATTGGCATAAACCCTTGACGGTTATGGGTACAGGGCATTTTTTGAAAATTGGCATAAACCCTTGACGGTTATGGGTACAGGGCATTTTTTGAAAATTGGCATAAACCCTTGACGGTTATGGGTACAGGGCATTTTTTGAAAATTGGCATAAACCCTTGACGGTTATGGGTACAGGGCATTTTTTGAAAATTGGCATAAACCCTAGACGGTTATGGGTAGAGGGCATTTTTTGAAAATTGGCATAAACCCTTGACGGTTATGGGTACAGGGCATTTTTTGAAAATTGGCATAAACCCTTGACGGTTATGGGTACAGGGCATTTTTTGAAAATTGGCATAAACCCTTGACGGTTATGGGTACAGGGCATTTTTTGAAAATTGGCATAAACCCTTGACTGTAATGGGTACAGGGCAAGCAACGCCAAAGTTACGCAGCACTAAAATTTACGCAGCACTAAAAGTTAAGCAGCACCAAAAGTTAAGCAGCACTAAAATTTACGCAGCACTAAACGATAAGCAGCACCAAAAGTTTAGCAGCACTAAAATTTACGCAGCACTAAACGATAAGCAACGCCAAAGTTACGCAGCACTAAAATTTAGGCAGCACCAAAAGTTAAGCAGCACTGAAATTTTGGAGGCGCTCTCCCAGAAAATCGACATAGTCACCAGTGGTCATGGCACAAAAAATTCAGATTGATCCTATTTGACCCATTTTATAACCATGAGGTTAAAATTGGCATAAAACCTAGACGGTTATGGGTACAGGGCATTTTTTGAAAATTGACATAAACCCTTGACGGTTATGGGTACAGGGCATTTTTTGAAAATTGGCATAAACCCTTGACGGTTATGGGTAGAGGGCATTTTTTGAAAATTGGCATAAACCCTTGACGGTTATGGGTACAGGGCATTTTTTGAAAATTGGCATAAACCCTTGACGGTTATGGGTACAGGGCATTTTTTGAAAATTGGCATAAACCCTTGACTGTAATGGGTACAGGGCAAGCAACGCCAAAGTTACGCAGCACTAAAATTTACGCAGCACTAAAAGTTAAGCAGCACCAAAAGTTAAGCAGCACTAAAATTTACGCAGCACTAAACGATAAGCAGCACCAAAAGTTAAGCAGCACCAAAAGTTAAGCAGCACTGAAATTTTGGAGGCGCTCTCCCAGAAAATCGACATAGTCACCAGTGGTCATGGCACAAAAAATTCAGATTGATCCTATTTGACCCATATTATAACCATGAGGTTAAAATTGGCATAAACCCTTGACGGTTATGGGTACAGGGCATTTTTTGAAAATTGGCATAAACCCGTGACGGTTATGGGTACAGGGCATTTTTTTTGAAAATTGGCATAAACCCTTGACGGTTATGGGTACAGGGCATTTTTTGAAAATTGGCATAAACCCTTGACGGTTATGGGTACAGGGCATTTTTTTGAAAAATTGGCATAAACCCTTGACGGTTATGGGTACAGGGCATTTTTTTGAAAAATTGGCATAAACCCTTGACGGTTATGGGTACAGGGCATTTTTTGAAAATTGGCATAAACCCTTGACGGTTATGGGTACAGGGCATTTTTTGAAAATTGGCATAAACCCTTGACGGTTATGGGTACAGGGCATTTTTTGAAAATTGGCATAAACCCTTGACGGTTATGGGTACAGGGCATTTTTTGAAAATTGGCATAAACCCTTGACGGTTATGGGTACAGGGCATTTTTTGAAAATTGGCATAAACCCTTGACGGTTATGGGTACAGGGCATTTTTTGAAAATTGGCATAAACCCTAGACGGTTATGGGTACAGGGCATTTTTTGAAAATTGGCATAAACCCTTGACGGTTATGGGTACAGGGCATTTTTTGAAAATTGGCATAAACCCTTGACGGTTATGGGTACAGGGCATTTTTTGAAAATTGGCATAAACCCTTGACTGTAATGGGTACAGGGCAAGCAACGCCAAAGTTACGCAGCACTAAAATTTACGCAGCACTAAAAGTTAAGCAGCACCAAAAAGTTAAGCAGCACTAAAAATTTACGCAGCACTAAACGATAAGCAGCACCAAAAGTTTAAGCAGCACTAAAATTTACGCAGCACTAAACGATAAGCAACGCCAAAGTTACGCAGCACTAAAATTTAGGCAGCACCAAAAAGTTAAGCAGCACTGAAATTTTTGGAGGCGCTCTCCCAGAAAAAATCGACATAGTCACCAGTGGTCATGGCACAAAAAATTCAGATTGATCCTATTTGACCCATATTATAACCATGAGGTTAAAAATTGGCATAAAACCCTTGACGGTTATGGGTACAGGGCATTTTTTTGAAAAATTGGCATAAACCCTTGACGGTTATGGGTACAGGGCATTTTTTTGAAAAATTGGCATAAACCCTTGACGGTTATGGGTACAGGGCATTTTTTGAAAATTGGCATAAACCCTTGACGGTTATGGGTACAGGGCATTTTTTGAAAATTGGCATAAACCCTTGACGGTTATGGGTACAGGGCATTTTTTGAAAATTGGCATAAAACCCTTGACGGTTATGGGTACAGGGGCATTTTTTTGAAAAATTGGCATAAACCCTTGACTGTAATGGGTACAGGGCAAGCAACGCCAAAGTTACGCAGCACTAAAAATTTACGCAGCACTAAAAAGTTTAAGCAGCACCAAAAAGTTAAGCAGCACTAAAATTTACGCAGCACTAAACGATAAGCAGCACCAAAAGTTAAGCAGCACTAAAATTTACGCAGCACTAAACGATAAGCAACGCCAAAGTTACGCAGCACTAAAATTTAGGCAGCACCAAAAGTTAAGCAGCACTGAAATTTTGGAGGCGCTCTCCCAGAAAATCGACATAGTCACCAGTGGTCATGGCACAAAAAATTCAGATTGATCCTATTTGACCCATATTATAACCATGAGGTTAAAATTGGCATAAACCCTTGACGGTTATGGGTACAGGGCATTTTTTGAAAATTGGCATAAACCCTTGACGGTTATGGGTACAGGGCATTTTTTG